GGTGAGAACTAATGTTTCACTGGAAAAAAGCACAGGCAGCCATGTTGACCTACAAGAAAATGTCAGAAATCCATATTAGGACATCTTTACTTGGCCAAGCAAAATGTCCCAAAATCAAGTTTTGCGTTCCCCAGAGCTAGGTATTAAGATATAATGAAAGGTTTGAGTATTGTTAAATCTTCTTAATACTAACTTACATTGTCCTGAAGGTGGCAATACTTACGTCTCTTAGAGGGCATCCCAGGAACTGTAGGAATCATCAGATCTCCCTCTACAAGGATAGGACCTCTAAAGTAAGATGGGGCATGTCAAGGATGTGCCAGGAGACTCTGTGAATCTGCAGAATCCCCAGACCTTCCATTCCCCTGACACATGCCTGGAAAGAGGACAAATTGTGCTAGTCATTGATTCCAATAAGAAGGAAATGTTTTTAAAAACCCAAAGTGGGAAACATAAAGAAGGGGAAATGCTCCACTATGGACACAATGACGACAATGTCCATCTGTTCATCTGCCTTCGGTTCTTTTTGGACTGCTCCTCTAGTCTCTGTTGAATATTTTCATTCCATCTTCATCTAAAATGATGACACAGCCAATTGGGAGAAGTAGCTAATGGCCACAAACCAACAGAGTTAAACATATTTTAGCTCAGGTACAGTGGTACCTCAGGTTAAGTAGTTAATTCGTTCCGGAGGTCCGTTCTTAACCTGAAACTGTTCTTAACCTGAAGCACCACTTTAGCTAAAGGGGCCTCCTGCTGCCGCCGCGCCGCTGCTGCACGATTTCTGTTCTCATCCTGAAGCAAAGTTCTTAACCCGAGGTACTATTTCTGGGTTAGCGGAGTCTGTAACATGAAGCGTATGTAACCCGAGGTACCACTGTATAGGCAAACTCAGCCCTCCAGATGTTTTAGGACTACAACTCCCATCATCCCTAGCTAACAGGACCAGTGGGCAGGGATGATGGGAGTTGTAGTCCCAAAACATCTGGAGGGCCGAGTTTGCCTGTGCTTGTTTTAGCCTATTGGTTTCACTGATTTTAAGCAGATATATAAGCAGATTATAGCCAATACATGTGGCGTAAATCTGTGATTACTTGGCAATGCAGCTCTTGCAAACTCAAAGACTGAAAATTGATCACACTTCTGTGAAGAGAGTTGTTTTTTTGTTGTACGGTTACTGAAGTGCAATAAATACCACTGCTTGCTGTGAACATTCGCACAGTTGCAGTCAGAAGAAAGCTGTTACTTGAAATGCTTTTTATAAATATTTGCAATGAAAAGGGTGAGCAGTGGCATACTGTGACATTACTTAATTGTACACATGTATGGAGACTACACGGGACGCGGGTGGCGCTGTGGGTTAAACCACAGAGCCTAGGAATTGCCGATCAGAAGGTCGCGGTTCGAATCCCTGCGATGGGGTGAGCTCCCACTGCTTGGTTCCAGCTCCTGCCCACCTAGCAGTTCGAAAGCACATCAGAGTGCAAGTAGATAAATAGGTACCGCTCCGGCGGGAAGGTAAACAGCGTTTCCGTGCACTGCTCTGGTTCGGCAGAAGCGGCTTAGTCATGCTGGTCACATGACCCGGAAGCTGTACGCCGGCTCCCTCGGCCAGTAAAGCGAGATGAGCGCCGTAACCACAGAGTCGGCCACGACTGGACCTAATGGTCAGG